TGATATCCTGGGTTTGATCTCTGCCATCACAAAAAAGGGAAGAGTTTAATTTTTTGTATGAAGTGTTTTATACAATGTTTTAATACTGGTTAGTCTTGTGTTTTATTATGTTGTTATTTGTGAAAGAACCTAAGAAACTGCTCTTGTATCCAAAGGTAGAAATAAGTAGTCTGCCTTGAAGTCTTCTACAGAGAAATGTGATCTAGACTGTAGGCCCATTTGGCCTTGTGATGATTGTCTGTGAGTTGGATAGTCTGATCTAGACCTGTTCCCTTTGTTTAGCTTTCTGGTTCTCAGGGTACCATAGAGAGTGGTCTTCAGGACATCGACAGCAGCTTATCTCCAGGTGGACTGCTGGCCGATACCTGGGCACATCAGGAAGGCACTCATCCAAGACACAGAAAGTAGGTGATAGTCTTGTAGGTCATTTCTGCTCTTACGAATTGTCCTTTGTCACATCAATTCCACTAATTTACTTGGGGTTTTCTTCCTTAAATAGTGTAGAAAAACTACAAGTCCTGTTAAATTGCATCACAGAGATTTACTATCAGTTCAAAAAAGACAAAGCAGAACGTAGTAAGTATAATTTGCTATTTCTTAATCTAATGAGTCAGCTTAGTTGTAATACATTACTTCTCTCTATTAAGTGTGGTTACTTAGAGATGTGTCAGAAAATGGGCTGAATGTATTAACAATTATTCTCAAGCCAACCTTTTGAATATTTTAAATCAAGGTCATGAAGTCCAAAGCTGGGTGGGTAAATCCAGGACTGAGAGTGGCTAGTGGGCCTGAAGGAAAGAAACAGCCATCTAAAGGGGAGTTGCCCATCTCTTTGGGAAAGCTAGAGATACCGGTTTTGTTAGAAATATCCTGACTTAAATGTTGATAGTTAATTTTTTTTTTCTTTTTTGTGGGGGGGGGTGTCTTTTTCTCTTTTTTAAGACTAGTAGCCCTGGCGGGCCTGGAACTCACAGAGATCCACCTGCCTCTGCCTCCTGACTGCTAGTACCCAAGGTGTGCACCACCACGCCTGGTAAAACTCACGTTCAACACGAAGGCTTTGGCGTCTCTCAACACGCAGACTCCCTGGCCCTGGAGGGAGTGTGGGGGGCAGCATGCCTTGAATTCACCCTTCCTCTGAGCCCCGCCTTCTGCATGCTCATGCAGGCACTACATCCCCACGTCACAGATGATGTTCTCGGTGATCGGAGAGTCCAGGAGGGCTGCTGGGACTTGGGTCGAATGCAGGAGGGTGTCTGATTCATGATAATGATCCCAACAGCCATAGGCACTGCAGAGAGAGGAAGCAGGCTGGTGAGGGGACAGAGCCCAGGGCCATCAGGTCAGAAAGCGCCCGAATGGCCCAGGTACCATGGTCTTCCAAAGCCTCCCAGGCAAGGCTCTTGTGGCACTGTGGTCAGGTTTGCTCCAGCCACGCACCCTTGATGGGCAATGGAGGGTGTCAGGCCCTGCTGCGCTGAGTCCTCCATTACTCTAAGGTGTCCTCTCTCCCATCAACAACTCACTGTCTTTGGCTTACTTTATCTTTTGCCTTTAATGTGGCCCACATCAAAGAGATCTACAAGAAAAAGACCCCAAAGAAACAAACCTGGGCCCTCAGGAAACCACCCTTTACCCAAGGAAGGCCACAGTGGGCATTCGGAATGCCTGCCCACAGCCAACCCTAAGTTTCTTGCTATAAATACTTGTGGGTTGAACGGTGC